TCGAACTTAACAATGGTACTGAAAAAAGTGACATGACCATTTTGCAGCCTCCCCATGTTGACGTGATCAGAATTCAGGCACTTGGCATATTTATGATAGCTGCAGTCTCCCAGAATCATGGGATCACCTTTTTGTGAAGTCAGTGGTCCCGATCCAGATTCACTTTACAACTGCAGCTGTTAACAACTGCAGTGATTCACTTAACAACTGTGGCAAGATCGGTTGTTAAATGGGGGCAAAACATAACAAATGTCTCACTTAACAATGGAAATTTGGGGCTCAATTACGGTCGTTAGTTGAGAAGTACCCTGTTTCCCTGAAAATGAGACCTCCCCGGACAATAAGCCCAATTGGGCTTTTGAGCGCAGGCGCTAAAATAAGCCCTTCCCAAAAATATTGCAGCATAGCAGCAGCCATGAGGTGACCACGTCACCGCCTCCTGCACCTCAAAAATAATAAGACCTCTCCGAAAATAAGGCCAAGCACTTTTGGGGGGGGGTGTCAAAAGAAAATAAGACCCTGTCTTATTTTCAGGGAAACACGGTACCTGTATTGGTGAAATTATGGATGTATCAATTACGTACAGTACATATTCAAGTACAGTGGGCCAAACATGAATTGTTTTTAAAAAGTATCCTCCTTTAAAAAATTGCTATCTTACAGTAGCAATTCTTTTAAAAAATGTGCAGTTTCTTGGTTTTAGAGGTTACAGGTCCATAAGGTGCAAGGCAAGACCAAATAAAGTTATTTGCTTGTCTGCAAAATTACTTAGCAAATTCAGCAAAAAAAAATTCTCAGTCGTGCAGATGTGTTCACAGCAGCTGCAAAAGTCCCTTCCAGTTTCAATCTCAATATATCTGGAAGGTGGTTATCAAAGAATGTAAGAGATTGTTTCCTCTTCTTTGCCCTGTGAGTATGAGGATATCTCCCCGCCCCCCTTCCCAGAACTAAGCTGTTACAGGCTGCGCTGACCCTATTCTGCTTTTCAAAACGAGCTTTGTGATTTTGTTATTTTGAAAGATGCACAAATATCAAATCTATTACTACTTTGGAAATTTACTTTTCTCTCTCTCACTCCTTCTCTTTAGATGTCAAAAGAGGAAGGGAGTGAAGAAAAGTTGACAGAAGATAGTTTAACCACACTCTTTCCTGGACAAAAAAAGAGGATTTCTCACGTAACAAAGCAAGGGCATGTAAGTAGATCTTGAAATGGCATCTGAAGCTTGGCTCTGATGCTGTCTTGCCAATCTCTATTCTTGTTGATGACTTTTGGGGGCATATGCCCATGTCCAGCCGAGTAATGTGAGGTTGTGAATGTAGTGCTGAAACCTAACACCCGTGGATTCCCAGAGGCCTTGAAAATGTACACTTCTGCGTTTGTGGTTTTTAGATACGTGGTACAATAGCACTCGTGACATTTTGAGCTGTCTAACATATACTGTTGTCTAGTATGTAAGATTCTAGATATAGCTTTGCAATTTTCAGGATGATCTTAAAGACGTAGCCTTTCATTTTCTTTGTATTCCTGTTGCTGTAAGATATGAAGAACATTAAAGAGAATCTAAGGTTTTGTATGTAACATTTGCATATATATATATATAAATATTGAGGATCCAGCTAATCTAGGAGCGGGGAATTCCCTTCCTCCTTAATAACTGCTTCACCCATGCAGTTCAACTTTGGAGCAGAGGTGGGCTGCTACCGGTTTGCATTGGTTGGGGTGAACCGGTAGTGGAATGTTGGCCTGGGTTGCAGAACCTGCAGCGACCCAGGCTGGCCACACCTCCAAACCGATTCCCCAGTCGCCGCGGCATGATTTTTTTTGGCATTTTTGAATGTTCTGCATGTGGGCAGACCTATTTACAGGCAACTATGCACGTGCGCAGAGCACAAAGCGTACACGCATCGAACCAGCAGTAATGCCAGCAGCAACCCACTCCTGCTTTGGAGGCCTTGCTGTATGTTTCTCTACCATCAGTTGTTTAGGAGAAAGTGCAATAGGAAGCAGGGCCTTCTTTACTGTGGCAGGTAACAATTAAGAAAGGCAATAAAGCCACGTATAAAACAACAGATCTTTCCCTAGGCTTTGTTTTTTTAAAGACAGCTGCTTTTTAAGAAAAAATGTTGTTATGCTGTTACCCAGTTAACATTTTGACTGTGGCTGTTTGTCTATTTGAGTTATTTGTATCATATGTGACAGATTTTAATTTTCCCTGTTTGTTTATTTGAAGCACATTCTCTCTGATTTGGCACTCTATTGGCTGAATTCAATTACCTTGTAAAATTGAAGGATTTAGATGTGTTCTAAAACAAAAAAGCACCCCTTTTCAATTAAGTGAATTCAGAAGAAATCAGTCATTTGTTTTCTTCTGTTGGGATGAAATAATATCAAAGAAGAGTAGTTTAGGCAGCCACCAGTATTTTTCAGAGCATTTACCTCATTTCTGAGATTGTTAATGTGACCTGTAGATGTTCCATTTGCTGTAAGTACTTAAACTATTTTTTTCTTTGCAGAAATTATTTCTAGCTTCCTTCCCCTTGAAAATGTGTTCTTTATATTTTTCGGTTTGCGGGTTGAAAACAAACCTTTTAAAAAAAGTGAATTAAGGAGATTCTAACTGCTGGATCTTTAAGGATTTTTGTGTGCGTGTGTGCATGCAGACCTTGATTAGTCTCTCTTCTGGAACATCAATGGGCTCTTTGTTTTCACAAATCAGGCTTTTGGTCGCCACACACAACATTCCGGCCGATTGTACATGTTCCTTCCATTTGTCCATTAAGCACTGTTGCAGAGCAAGAGGGGAAAAAAGGACTCTTGTGAAATGGATTGGAAATTCTGAAACTCAAATATTTGCAAGTTCTTAGCACATCTGCTGTTCCCAAACCCTTTTGCAAAGGTGTATGAGGTTCAGCACCTGTCTTCAGTATGAAAACATCATGGGTGGACAAATATGTCCTGAAATGTGTAGATGGAACATTGTTTGCACTCTCTTCTCTTCTCCTCCTTGTTTCTGTTCTGTCTCATATGGGTGAATCATATACTCATGATTGGTAAGGCCAATCTGTCAGGGTTCCAAGTAATAACTCCATGGAAAGCAGAACTCCAAAGCATACAAGTTCCTCAAACAACAGTTTTATTGGAGATATCATGTTGGCACGAACTGGTGAAAACCAACTCTGAAAGTTTCCGTGGTTTTCACCTAATTAAAAAGTGAAAGTTTCCCTTTTCCTCAAACCATCAGTCACATTGTCCATTCGAGGTGCTGGCTGGTCTCCGGACACGCTTCAAGGTGCTAGTCGTTACTTTTAAAGCCCTACATGGTACAGGACCTGGCTATCTGAGAGACCGCCTCCTGCCATTTACCTCCCAGAGACCCATAAGATCTCACAGACTAGGCCTCCTCCGGATTCCATCTGCTGGCGACCCCCCCGGGGGAGGGCCTTCTCTGTAGCTGCTCCGGCCCTATGGAATGATCTTCCCATGAAGATCCGGACCCTTACTACCCTTCTGGCCTTCCACAAAGTGATCAAGACCTGGCTCTTCCG